CAGGAATGTTATTTGCTATTTTTTGAACACATAGTCAAGTGTACAGAGAGCATTTGGGGAAAATCAGAGAGAAAATATGTGCGGAGAGGGAAAGTTAAACCTAGAAAACTGTAAACCCTCTTTTTCTCAGATTCCTTTACTCACGGCCACCTTTCTTCAAATAGTTCACTAAAGTATACAGTCTATATTTTTTTAAGACTTGCAAACCATTTTGTGCATTTACAGCTGTTTTCTCAATTTTGTTTCCACCGTTGTTTGCATGCCATTTGCAGTCCTACTGGTTAAAATGAATGAGAAATAGTAAGAAAGTCATGCATACCTGCATTTTGCTGGTGACTATTGTATAAACATTAAAAAAAAAATCTAACAAATTTCATCATTAGAACAGCACTTCGTCTTTTAATTGTGTAGTATATAATTAGATATGTATACAATGGTAGTTATATAATTAGACTGTACTGTTATAACAGTCCAATTTTGAGAGGTGGCCTTGACCTGCTTATCATGATGGGAGTGTCTTTTTCTTGCCATCTGTTGTTTGGCAGCAGCCAACATGCGCCTCTGGGCTAGCAACTCATCACGTGCAGAAGCCTCAACTAACCACTGCGTGCTGCAAATCACCTGGCTGGGGTACTCTATGGGCCATGGGCAATGGCTCTTGTTCTTGTGAGGGAGGAACAAAAAGAGATGTGGGAAAGATGGGGATGTACTTCCTTTGAAACAAGGCTTTGTTATTTCCAGTGCTTATGGAACAACCTGGTTTAAATGGCTTTATTTTGGAGAACATGTACATATACGAGGTGGTAAAATGAAAGCTAATGGGATGTCTTAAAGATTCGAACACGTAGCATTAGACATAAATGTAAAGAACCCACTATCTAGTATTATTAGCTATATATAAATATAAATCTGACAATAAATTTTCATTAAATGACTCAATCTATATGCTTGAGGAATTATTAGGTCAAGTACAGTGTCTGTGTATTCCTCTAAATGTTTGTGTTACATTTATTAATTCAGCAAGATAAAATGCTTGTTGAGACACTTGAGTATCGCAGGAATTGCTCCAAATATAACAAATGCATAGTATTACAGAAGCAGAACCATGGTCTAATATTAATACATTGCATTCAGAATGAAGTTAAGTATGATAACAATAATGCCAGACTTGTTCTTACTGTTTGTTTCTTATTTTTCTTTACATGAGCAAAAAATATGGTCAGTAGTCACTCTATGTGTGTGGCTTTTTTTTTTCTTCGTGAGTTTTCAGAAGTCTCAACTGCCTCACTCTTTCTGTTAATAATTTTCTTTTTAGTAAGGCTGGATTTACTTTAACCCTGCAGTTCTTTAACTGATGTGGTTCTATCTGAAGAATGCCAAACTTCTTGCTTTTTTCAGTTTCTCTGGTGTAAGTATCAAAAAGTTTAAAGCCCAAAAGAACAAAATGCAGAAAATCAAGCTTTAGAAGTGTGTACTGGATCAATAAGGTTTGTTTGAAGTGACGTAACTGGTTTCTCAGTGACAAGTTAAATTCTGGACAGTGGAAACTCACCATGCAACATCTCTTGCTCATTGCACACTTACTTTTGTTTGGACTTTTCTAATCCTGTGCTGGCCCTGAGTTGTGTGGACCATTCTTTTGCCATAGCACACCCTCTGCGCTCTCTCTTCCTGATTGTGCTTTGGTTTATACCATCATCGAATTTTGGGAAGAGCCATTTCTCTCTCCTCCTCATGGACTTTTACTCCTTGAATCTTTTCACCTAGCTCCCTGCACCTTTTCTTCTGCAACTCTATTTGCCCCATCTCTTCTGTCCAATGCTATAGATGTCCAAACTGCATTCACTCAAAGGAAATAGGAAACCACTTCAGGGGAAGGTTTAGTCTTGGTGTGTATTTCTAAAGCCTATAAAGTGACTTTATGTAGTGCTATATAAGTCGTAAATAAGGATGCTAAAACATGACAGCTTTTTCTTCTCTCTGCATTTTTAAAGCCACCTTTTTCCACTGAAAGGTATAGCAAAGAACATTCCTATTTGTTCCATCATCAGCTCTCTTAGTTTTTAGCTTCAAAAGAAATGGGCTTAAACTCAAGTGTTTCGATCTGCAGTGTGCTAGTCTCTATAGCGACCTTCCTCCCTCTTCTCTACCTTTACCAGGGTAGAGTTTTCCTTACACTTATGTATCTCAAGAAATGTCACAATCTTTTATTGTTCCTCTAGCATGTAATGTAGCCCTAGGTAGCCACCCTAGAAAAAAAAGGATTTTTCACAGTACAATTTCTGCCATTTACTGCATACTGTGTAGCATTTTCTTAATTTTTTTCTTTTCTGCCTTTCACCTTTCTGCTTTAAAAAACAGGCAGATTGATATTAATATTTTTCCCTGATAAAAAAAAAAAAAGTATTTTACCTTGATCTTAGTGTTGTTAATACATTATTCAGTGTTCCTTCTTAATAAAAGCCATTGGTTGTTCCATTACTCACAATAGATATTACAACACTAAAGGTCTCGTTCATCAGAATGACTTGCAGAGGCAAAACGAAAACCCTGACTTCTCCATGCATCAGGATAATAGCTGTGGTGAATGCAAGTTATTAAACTATGTTTAAAATATAATGTGTGTTTTGGGTTTTTTTTCTTTTTTTGGAGATTAACACTAAGGAAAGATTTGTGAACATCATTTATTTTATTGCATATGTATTGCTTGTACGTATTTTGCTCTTTCAGTAGAAGTCAATAAGGAGGTGAAGCTGTTGATTGCATTCAATTTCATAAAACATCGTCCTTAAAATCACCATTATAGTACATGGATTTTGAAAAGCTCTTAGTTATCAGACTTTGGATTCATGTCATCTTCTTGGATGACAATGGAGGAGGAATCTTAATCTTGGATCATCTCTGCTAAAAATGAAGAAAAGTGGGCACAGATGTCTAGCAGAGAAGAGTGTGAAGCTCTAGGTCAAGTCTTGGAATGGGGATTCTGTTTGAAAGATATCTTCTGTAATATTGCAGTGTATTAAATTCATGCTTATGTGTTCTGGCATAAAATGAACATAAACCAACTCTAATATAATGCAAGACAGGAATTTTATTTCATGTTAGTAATCATAAATTTTTTTGAAAAAAGTTGTAGGTATAGCTAGGGTGTCAAAACAGCAAAAAAAAAAAAAAAGTACTATTTAGAAACAAGTCTTAGTATATGAAAAAGTTGAGCTTTTACCTGAGCACCTCTGTGCTCAATGCAAACAAAATTACTTTGTGCAAACAATGAGTTTCCACTGCCAGAATTATTATCTCAGTATGGTTAAATACTGTATGAGTCATCTTCTAGTGAACACAGTATACATATGGACAGTTGAAGGATGCAGTGCATGTTTAGTGCTTTCATGACTCTTTTAAGCCTTCATTTTTCTTGAAGTTTAATGGATTATATGATTCTTTTTCCTCTACAAACCTTTTCATTTATTGTGTCTAACTTTGTACTCTTTACTTGAATTATGAGTTGGTCTACTTTGTATTCCAAAATGCTTGCTATAGAAATGAATTTGACAACTACATCTACATAATTTTAAAATATTTATGCTCTCTACATTTATTAAGGATAGTTTATTGCTTTTGATATTTACCTTGATTCTGCATTTGTTGATTAACTTGTCAATGTTGTGATTGCTTTACAGTATCGCTACAGAGCTGTTCGCTTCCTTTTAGGTGTGTCTATCCTTCTTGGTCAACAACAGCTTGGGTGTCTGGAGGTTTTTGGGGGGTTCTGAGGGTTCTTGTTGTGGGTTTTTTGTTTGTTTTTTGGGGCTTTGGTTTTTTTTTTTTTTATGAAGACTGTAAAAATCGTGACACTGATGGACAAGCCAATTAGGATAGCGGAAACTGAGGACAGACTTATATGCGTGTGCCTGTGTGTACCCACATAGTAGCTTATCAGGTGCAGTAGACAAGCTGTTTAATGCCTGAAGAGGAAGAATTTTGGAAAAAAGTACCAATTTTACTTTAAAAATAAATAAAAGGGAAAAAGAACCAAAACAGATGAAGATCTAAAGGAGGCAGCAGGAAGATATTTTAGCAGCATGTAGGGCTCCTGTTAAAACTTAACTTGTCTATACTGGCATTTAGAATGGATCTGAGCTTTGCTTTACTCTGGGGGCTGTAAGTTCAGATCCCAGTACAACTAGAGTATGCTAGTATTGTATTTGACCTATAGCTTTTAAATAGGTTAACAGTGATTTTTGTGCATCTTCCATTTAAAATATATTATGTTGAGGGCTAGACTGGTTGTGCAAAGGGTGTTGAGACAGGTTGAGAGGCACGCAGCTTTACTATCAGGAGCTAGGGGTGAAGACGTACATCAACTCACTGGTGATGGGCAGAGTGGGAAAAACAAAGCCTTGTTCAGCAATAGCCCAAACGCTGGTGTGTTATCAGCACTGTTTTAGTCAAAATTCCAAAACACGGCACCATACAGGCTACTGTGAAGAAAGTTAGCCCCATCCTAGTCAGCCCCAGTTCAATTGGGAAGTATCTAGTTTTTATCAGGACCTGCTCATCAGGCCTCCCTCAGGTTCCTGCTCGTGATGCTATTAACGTTAACTGGAGCATGTTGTGCACGGGGTTGGGTGCTGCTTGGTTGGTAAGCTTTGTGTAGGCACTTTCTTGGGTCCACTAGTGTAACCCAAAAGCTACAAAGAGGCAGTAGGAGAAAGGGGGTGGAGGAATGGACGATTCCCCTGGTGGTCATAGTCATGCGCTAGGAGAATCTGCTGTAACAGCAATATGGGGGTTTCCAGATGCAAACCAGAGATCAACGCTATGAGAGCAGAATAGACAAACACTGTCCCAGAGGGGTTGGGAAACGCTGCTGCAGCTTGTGTGAAAGGGAACAGAGCTGCAAGGGGAAGGCAGGCTAAGGGATTGCAAATGGATGGCCCTTAGCATCATATGCATTAAGGTACCTAGGTACTATGCAGCAGACCACAGTCTATTTTAATTTTAAGTGTAGATAATTTAGCTTGATTGACCATGCTAAGAAAATGGCAATATATTTAAACAGTAATAATTTTGATGGT